GTTTACTGATTCCAATACATTTGTACTTTGACATGATCATCTGGAACATCCTGGGTCTATAATGATGAGACGAAGTATAGAAATTTCGAATGAACATCCATTAAAGGACATAAAATTTCTTTTAAATGGTGAATTTTCTTGTACTGCTTGTTATCAAGGCAAGTTGATTGTGACACCATCACTAATTAAAGTGGAGATTGAGTCCCCTACGTTCTAAACATATACATGGGGATATTTATGGACCTATTGACCCACCTAGTGGTTCATTTAGATACTTTATGGTTCTAATAGATTCTTCTTATAGATGGTCTCATGTGTGCCTATTGTCATCTCGTAACTTGACATTTGCAAAATTATTGGCCCAAATAATAAGGTTAAGAGCACATTTCCCTGATAATCAGATTAAGTCCATTCGTCTTGATAATGCTGCAAAGTTTTCATCTCAATTATTTAATGATTATAGTTTAGCAATTAGAATAAGAGTTGAACACTGTGTTGATCATGTCCATACTAAGAATGATCTTGTTGAGTCATTAATTAAATGTATGCAATTAATAGCAAGATCATTGCTTATGAAAACTAGGTTGCCCACTTCTATATAAGGACATGCAATTTCGCATGCTGCAACACTTATTCATCTCATATCGATAAATTATCATAATGTTTCTCCATTGCAATTGGATATGAGTCAAGAACCTAATGTATCCCATATAAGAATTTTTGGATGTGTTATACATGTGCATGGGGCACCACCAAACCGTACTAAGATGGACACTCAAAGAAGGTTAGGAATATATGTTGGGTTTGAGTCACCCTCCATTTTTCTCTATCTTGAACCATTGATTGGAGACATGTTTACTGCTCGATTTGTAGATTGTCGGTTTGATGAGACAATTTTCCCAAAATAAGGGGAAGAGAATAGTGAAATAAAATGAGAAAATTTTGTGGAAAAATTTTCTTTGTCTCATCTTGATCCATATTCTTCTATTTATGAGCAAGAAGTACAAAAGATTATTCATCTGCAGAAAATTGCAAATCAAATGCTTGACGCATTTACAGATTTGAAAAGGATTACTAAATCACATATTTCTGCAGAGAATGTCCCAATTCGAATTGATATCCCTATACAACTATCCACTAGTGTCATAGCTAATGAGTCAAAAGAACTTCTAAAGCGTGGTAGACCATTGAGTTCTAAGGATCATAATCCTAGAAAAAAGAAAGATTAAATGCCAAGATGACTCTATGAAAGAATCTCATATGGAAGTTCAAAATTTGAATAATTCTGATATTCATAAAAGAATCAATGAACTTGAAACTGAAGAAAATAATGAACAATTCATAAATTTAAGAGATGTTAAAACTAATTTGAATCGATCAGAAATAACAGTTTTTATATCGTTGCATTTAATGTTGCAACAAATATAATGTAAGATAATGAGGATCTTTAACCTCAATCTATTATAGAATATCAACAAAGAAATTATTGGCCAAAATGGCAAGAAGCAATTCAGGCAAAGTTGAATTCACTTGCTAAGCGTGAAGTTTTTAGACCTATAGTCAAACACCTAATGATATTAAATTTGTTGGTTGCAAATGGATTTTTGTGAGAAAAAGAAATAAAAAAAATGAAATACAAAGGTATAAAGCACGCCTTGTGGCACAAGAATTTTCTCAAAGGCTTGACGTCGATTATGAAGAGACATAATCACCCGTTATGGATGCAATAACATTGCGTTATCTCATTAGTTTCACAGTCCACGAGCAACTTGAAATGCATTTGATGGATGTGGTTATAAGATACCTTTATGGATCACATGATAATGAGATATACATGAAAATTTCTGAAGAATTTGCGATGCCTAAATCATGTAATTCAAAATCTCGAGAAATGTATTCAATTAAATTGCAAAGATCATTATATGGTTTGAAGAAATTTGTACACAAGTGATATAACCGTCTTAGTGGGTATTTAATTAAGGAAGGTTATACAAATGATGAAATTTGTCCATGTGTCTTTATAGAGAAAATAATATCGGAATTTATTGTACTTGCTATTTATGTTGATGACATAAATCTTATTGAAAATCCAATAGAGCTTCAAAAGACAGTTTATTATTTAAAGAATGAATTTGATATAAAAGATTTGGGAAGAACAAAATTGTGTCTTTGTTTGCAAATTGAGTATTTGACAAATAGTGTTTTTGTTCATCAATCTGCCTACACAGAAATAGTGTTGAAAAGATTTTGTATGGATGAAGCACATCCATTAAGTACTTCGGTGGTTGTTCGTTCCCTTTATATAAATAAGGATCCATTCCGACCTCAATAAAAGAATGAGGAAACTCTTGGTTTTGAAGTACCATATCTTAGTGCAATTGGTGCACTAATGTATCTTGTTAATACTACAAGGCCCGATATAGCTTTTGTTGTTAATTTGTTAGCAAGGTATAGTTCTACTCCTACTAGGAGATATTGGAATGACATCAAACACATTTTGTGATATCTTAAAGAGACAACTGATATGGGCTTATTTTATTCTAATAATTGTAGCCCCAATCTTGTTGGTTATGCTGATGCAGGATATTTATCTGATCAACACAAAGCTCGATCCCAGACAGGCTATGTGTTTATATGTGGAGGGACTGTCATATCTTGGAGATCTACAAAGCAGTCCATCGCAACCACTTTATCTAATCATGATGAAATAATAACTATTCATGAAGCAAGTAGAGAATTTATGATGTTAAGGTATATGATACATTTCATTCGAGAAAAATCTAGTTTGGAGTGTGATAAAGTCCCCACCACTTTGTATGAAGATAATGCAACATGCATAACACAACTTAGGGGAGGATTCATAAAAAGAGATAGAACAAAGCAAATTTAACCAAAAATTTTTCATGCACATGAACTTCAAAAGAATTGTGATATAAATGTGCAATAGATTTGTTCAAGTGACAATGTGACTGATCTATTCACCAAGTCTCTACCAATTGCAATTTTCAGGAAGATGGTGCACAAGCTTGGAACACGAGGTTTCAAGACTCTGATTGATGTTCTCATTAGGGGGAGTATTAATGTGTTGTACTCTTTTTTCCTTGTAAGGTTTTTAATGAGGCAACCTAGATACGTACTAATACACATGTGTACTCTTTTCATGTACTAAATTTTTTCTTTTCTTAAAGTTTTTTTTAGTAAGATTGTATTTGACGAGGCACATCATCTATGAATTAGACATTCAAGGTGAGTGTTATAAAGTATTTGTATTATAGTGAATGTCTATCATGTGGAGTCCTTTTAAAATATGGTAAGAGGCCTACTTGTGAACCAAGTTAGATTTTTCCTATAAATAGAGGGGTCCTTTTCATTGTAAAATCATCTCTCAAGAGAAATAATAAGTCTTCTCTTCTCTCTGTTTTCTTATTATAATTATTATATACTTTCAGAACAAAAAATACCAACCTGAAGGATCCCATCTTCCACCACAACAAAATCAAGATTTTTTTCAAGAAAAAAAAACTTCACTTACGCAACACTAAGAATAATTTTGCAGAAATTTGAAGAAGAGAGAAACGTGATAAAAAATAAAATCAGAATTTAAATTAATTTTAATTGATTTGATCGTTTTAACGAAATCGGATAATATTAATTATTTTGAATTCCTTGAATCGTGTTAATTATTGATTATCTATTATCAATTCAAATTAAATTAACCCCCATATATATTTTTTTATTATTAATTTTTTATTTTTTTAGAAACGTTTCTTTGTTTATTCCTTTTTTTTTGGCAATATGTTATAGCCTGAAATATTTAATGATATATATTGAAAGTCTAACTCTAATGCTATAGCTTGAAAATAGTACTATAAAAAATGTCGATATGATACAAATATGGGTTATTTAAAAAAATAAAATAAATAAATTTACATATAAAAAATGATATGCTATAACTCACAATTAAATTGTTATGAATAGCAATATATAAAAAGTAGATTTAAAACATGTTAGATTGTCTCTTAAATATATATATGTAGTGTGATTTTTCCATATAAATAATGTATAGTCATAGACAAAATTATAACAGGATAACAAAATGTAAAGTTTGATCAACTGAGAAAATGTGATATCAACTCAACAAACGACACACAACTATAAATTATAATAGTGATTGAAGAATATAATAAAGCTACAAAAGAAATATTATCTTCACCCTGATATAAAGTTTAATTGTAATATTTGTATCTCATATGATATTAATCATTTTGACCTCGATAAACATGTCATCATATGGCAATTCACATTGGTCATTTACAAAAGTTTGCACTTCATTTTTTTTATTGATAATTATTTATGTAGAAATTAGGGAAAATATCCAAGTATCCCCTCAGCCTATGCTCGAAATCCCAAAGACACACTTATACTATACTAAGGTCCTATTACCCTCCTGAACTTATTTTATATGTAATTTTCTACTTTTTTTTAGCCTACGTGGCACTAGTTCAAAAAAAAAGTCAACCATCGTTGGACCCACAAGATAGTGCCACGTAAGCTAAAAAGGGGTAAAAAATTATCAATAAAATACGTTCAGGGGGTAATAGAACCTTAGTATAGTATAAGTGTGTCTTTGAGATTTCGGGTATAGGTTGAGGGGGTACTTGGGCATTATCCCTAGAAATTAAGATGGAAAATCTTGTATTGTTACATGTTCGGTATAGGAAGTAGAAATGATTAGGCGTGTTTTATTTTACTTTTTTTATTTAATTACCTATTCAAAATTTTACGGAAATATAATAACTATTATTTACAAAATTTATATTACACTCAATATACACGTTCTACGAAGCCATTCATGTAAATAAGCTCTTTATGGAAAGCATTGTAGATATCCTTCGGCTGATTCAACCAATGGACGTAGAACAATTGGGCCCTGTTGACACCTAATATGGCACTTGTGACTGACTGTCTTATTTTGAATAACAGAGTAGTAACTTCACTTCTTGACAAAGCATACCAGAACCATGTATAACTGGAATTGACATACTAGTTGATTCAAATTTTATTTACACACTATCTTGTTCATTTAGCAACTATTGACATATAATATTTCACTATTTCACATAAAAACAGAATGTAGTTTCAAGAACATAAACCATTCAGCTATCTGTACATCGACTTCCTACAAGCAAGGAGCGGCAGAAAAGAATGCTGCCCATTCATGGCTTCTTGAGGATATTGACTTTATGTTCTGAGAAATTTTAAGGATATATTAGTCAGACCAGTAAACTCATTTGAGAGAACATAAACCAATGTTATCTATTGTACACTTATCTCAACCTATACCCCACACAATGAACACATCACCGCGATGTGTCTCATTCAGACAGATACCACGCCTTCAGGAAGCGAGTCATTGTCCTTCTGTGGTGATACAAATCTACGGCAAGCATAGAGTACAGCAGAGTGGAATGCGGATGTGTTCTCCATAAATACAAAGTGACCAGCCTGCAAGATCGAGAAGGGTTTTGCCAGTAACTAGGGATTATCCCTGGTGCTTCACTTTATACTACTATGTAGTTTCGGGAAACAATAATCAGAAATAAGATTATTTTCTGAAGGGGGGCAGGAAAAGGAAAGAAAGAGAACCTGAGGGACCCTAATTATTTCACATGGAACCTTCATATTCTTCCTTGCCTGTTGCGCTCCTCGGTAATCCATCCAATCTTCATGTCCATATATGAAAGCTGTTGGCACCTTCCAATCTGGTGCTCTGTGAATATAAGGAGTCCGAGATATTAGTAGAGAATCGCTGCTAAAATTCTCATCAAGGTTTAGAGAGTCGAGTTACTTGGCAATTTAACATCATGTGCCCCTAGCTAGTTCTATTTTGACTGGAATATCTAAGAGGCTTCTGAAATCCCAAAGCCCCATAAGAATAATGTTATTTCAAGATTTATTAAATAACTTTGTTCATAGGGAGGAGCATCGTGTGTAAATGTCCCAGACTGCGTAGAACGTACCAAGGGCAGAAATGGTTCATCAAAAAAAAATGGTCCACTAGAATTTCAAGGAATTCACAGCAAGAATTTAAGTCAAAATCCAGGTGCTCTTGGGTCAATATAATCCTGAATCCAGGCATAATTTGTTGGTGTGATTTGGCCATGAAAATTGTGAAATATGAAACAAGTGGTTTTTGTTTTCAAAGTGAAAAATGGCATTTGGAAATTGGAGTTGACCTGAATACAAATTGGAGTTGTTTTTGGACTTTTGTGCATGATTTGGAGTGAAAAAGGTAAAAAACTTTCTGGTGCTTTTCAAATTCCGGAATTCAACTTGTGAAGTGTCGAGTTGAATTCTGGAATTTTCTGAAATTTTATGACCAAACATGATTCCCTGAATTCAATTTTGAAGAAGTAAAATATTCTTGGTCACACGGCCACTAAATGCTTCACAGCATAAAAGAGGTCAAATGCTTACAGACACGTTAAATAACAGGTATCAAGTAATGTGAACCCCATCCATAAGCAGAATACAACTACATTCTTTACATATTTTGTTTGAGCTTTACTAACTTGTATGATCTCATCCTACAGACAATTAACTACACACAGAGTATACCATACCAAATCATATTGGTTACAGAAATATACTTACTCCACAAAAACAAATGAAATAATTGTCCCTGGCATTTTACTTTACCGCAATGAATAAATCAATCAACTATATCTCACTCCTATACTAGCTCTCGACCATACCTATTCCTCTCATATCAAGCCTACTTTACTCCAATATAAAATAATTTGCATTTTAAGGGATCCTTGAGGTTTTCCTGATCTCATATTTCCACTAGGACATAAATGTTTCTTAAACAAAATAAGAAAAACTCCAGGCACATATAGGACCGAGCGAAATGTAAGAACCGAACATTTTTTTACAAGTTGTTATAGCCTAGATAGATGTTTTCACTTCAATTGTATTATGTTCCTAAGCTAAGACGTGCACTGACTCAGAGAGAGATATAGGTCTTTGATAACTTTTCTCAATGTGATTTTAGGACTACCTTGACCTCTATTATCAGCTCCATTCGCTGTATTATAGCACCTAATGCCAGTTCATATAGAGGTCCAAACAGGAGATGAAAATCAATTTAACCGTCAAAGATTAAAATATCAAATATCACAAAGAAGTGCTATTTAGTTTATAATGGTTGCATGCTAGTCATCATGACCAGTTCAAGCATTTCCTTTTCTTAAAACGACAAGAGGGTGAGGGCTCCTAGCAATGGCAAATTAGTATACAATTGCAAATAATTACTTATTACACCACATCAGTCCAGCCATTTTTTGAATGCTTAAAATTACAGTGCCTGGGAATCAGACAACGTTATTTACTAAATCTTCATGGCCCTCATCCTTTTTGGAGAATAAATTCCCATCTAGTTGAGGCTCTTACTTACATTTAATTGCTTGAATTAATTGCATAACTGGACCATCCAATTCGTTTACTCATTTACATCCTAAAGTCTGTCTACATGGTGCAAATTCAATTGAATTAGCATTCTAAAAATAAGCTGAGGAATGGTTCCTATTAGCTTCGGAGAAGACCTTATTACAAAGACGTGAAGGCAAGCTCCATCTTACGGCATCAACTGTAATGCCGAAGAGTTCATGAAGTCTTCCATTTAGTTCCCTCATTCCCACCCTCTTATGTGAAAAAAGGACTATTGAGCGGCATCTATTTTCTCACTTTATATTTTTCCCCTTCCTGCAGGTACAGTATAAATTACTGCCGCACTGCTGATTGAGAAAAAACAGAGAACCCCATGCATCAAATCACTCATGATCTGTGCTTGCAACTAAATTGATACATCTCACATCACATGTAAATAAGTAGGGAATCCAAGTTCTACCTCTATTTTTTTAACGAGAACCTCATATTCCAGCAAAGTGTGACAAGCAGAAGCCATTATAGCAAGCATTATAAGAGCAGAAACTGAACAATACTAACGGATACAGAGCTGGACACTGTAAGGATCTACAGTAGCAGGAATTTTAGGTTTTCAGCATTTTATTCAGCAACTAAGTAATAAATACTATCATGCATTTGCATGTGTTCTTGTGTTTGAAGAGAAAGAGATGGGGGTGGGGAAGAGGGAGAGGGAAAAAGAGACAGAGAGTGGGTATATCACCTGTATAAAAGAGGACTCTTGGCAAATGCTCCAAAGGAAAATATATATTTTAAGCATAGCTCTCCACTAGGTTTTGCAGCCAAAGTGTGATATACATAATCTTCCATTAAAAAAACAATTGATATTAGAAACCTGAGATGTGCAATGTATACAACCATCATGAGAAATAAAAATACGATGCCAATCAATAAAAGATTTGCAACGTACCTGAGAGTAGTCTGGACGACTCCTCAGTCAAATCATCTCCATTAGAATATGCAGTAAATCTAGCATTTGTGTATTTGCGAACAAGGTCTGGACCCCATGGGCCTAAGCCTCTGCATTATTAAATTGCCAGCAATATTAGCACTCTTCAGATAAATAAGGCCACGTATACAACTTTCTTTCAGAACTACCAGGCCAATTAAAACCTCAATCCAGGAAAGGATCCCGGACAGCTAAAGGGAGCATCTTAGATCCATAGAAAGAAGTCAATATACAAGAAAAAGTATCAATTATCAAGTATATGAGTAGTGCCAACTCTATAAGTCAGTAAATATGCACAGGCATCAACATGTATGATTTTTAAAAAATCTAGATATGAAACAACCACCTGTGGAGTTGATCTTTTTCGTTAAATCATCGACAAATAGCGCATATCTTGTCTTAAAATAAATGTCTCTAGCACTTAATAACTCTTTTAGTTACTGAACACCTACAGGATAATGAGAGAGTGAGGCAGAGGGAAAGGCTAGCAACCACAGCCCGCAAGGGTACCCTTACTTATAAAAGGCATTTTTCAGGACAACGGCAGACTTTTCTTTTCATAAATTAAAAAAAAATATATGTATGGCTCATGTACCACGTAAAATCCAAACGCATGATGAATAGCTTAATTTTACAGATAACTATGATAAATCAAAGAAAGAGAAGGTTAGTCCCTTCATTTCCTATTTACATACTAAGATGAAAAGTCACCCTGTTATCCCAACCAAACATCTTTTTAAAGGGGAGAAAGAAAAGGTTTGATATCTTCCTTTTTTTTTTTGTGCTAGACATTTTGTGTTACGTACAATGTAGTGGATTCATCTAGATGACGCCAATCATTTCGGATAGAGGCATGATTAAGTGCTTGATGTCTTACATTTGCTTTCAAACTTTGGGAATGTGTGAACCATTCAAGGAAAGGTGACAACTAAATTAAGATAAAACAAACCATCAAGTGGGACTGTAGTCAAGTTTAGATAGCTAAGAAACCAAAAGAGTATAGTGAATCCACCTGTGAGTATCTTACATGGGTTCCCTCAGCCCTCAGGTCCTTAATCATGCATTCCTCAAAAAACATTGACACCGAGGCAAAGCATTTGCAACAGAAGTACATATGCTCGCCATATGATCATATCATTCGAAGAAGGGGAACGAAGAAGAAATGAATCATAAACATTTTAGGAGTTAGTCTTAAAATAAATTATGTTCCCCGAGTAAAGAAAAAGCTTGCACTAACCAGAAGCTACAGTGACAAGAAGGAACAAATGGAAAAATCAGGCGTATCAAGAGTATCACTGTAAATGTTTGTATAATGCAGTAAAACATGCAAAATAAATGTCCAGCAGCATGTTAGACTAGAGAAGAAGCAAGTTTTTAGAAAAGCATCTACCTGATAACTTTCATCGGGGTAAAATTAGACTCCCACAAATGATTCAAGACAACTCCCTTCCAAGTTGCTCTGAACTGGGTCATCCGCTCGGACATATGTTCAGTTTGTGATGTAAATCCGGCTGGTCCTACCAGAATCAACTGCTGAACACGCTCAGGATGCTACAAGCGAAATAGAATCATTTAATCAGCAGTAAAATATACATGACCATATACATTTAAACTATAATTTCACATTTCTATGAATTTCTTGTTTTTTCTGAAAAATTGAGTTCAATGAAAATTGATCACCTTGAGAGCATATTTGGCAGCGACATACCCTCCAAAAGAGTGCCCAAGCAAAATAAAGTTGCTTAGATTTTTGGCTTAGCGCCACTCCTCAAAGGAATCGATAAACCAATTTTCAGTCTCTGCATTAGAAAAGATGCCTCTTTCAGAACAAAATTATTCAGTAAATAAGCCGCAGATATGGTATCTTCCAAATGAATAAAGATACTCAAATGTGTAATCAACTTGTAACGCTAACCTTCGGTACTTTTGCATGTGAAGTCGGGCCTGCTTGATCCACCCCAACTGCATAACACATTAGCCAGTCAGAGAACTACCAGTATGCTCATTTGTCTTTTTCGTTCTTTATTCTACATAAAAGTGACATCAATTGGAAGACTTCCACCACTCCTTTCGTTCTACTCTAGGACTTACAGCAGCAGCTCTTTGAAGCTACTGCTAACTAAAGAAAGCAAAAGGAAGCAACACATAGTCAATTAGACTGGTAAGCCTTCATAAACTTCCCAGGAGAATAAATAAGTGTCAATGTCACAAAGCAGATACACCCTTTTTTTTAAAATCATTCTCAAGATAGGTCTATTTTACAAAGGTTGACACAGAAAGCCTTCATGTCACACTTGTATAAATATTTTCTACATAGAAAGGGCTGAAAATCAACCCTGATAATCTTTTAAAACTTTAAACTTTCTGCACTTACAGGTCAGGTAATGCCTAGGATAATTTTGTTGCGAGCTATTCAGTTTGAGGGCAACGGCACATTGTGTATATCATTAACTACTAATTAATACAACTTGGCTACAACATTATTGTATCACCCCATAATAACATCAAGTAGGTTTCAAATGAAAAATTAGGGACGCTCAAAAAAGAAACTAGCACAAAGCTGACCATCCAACAACTACAGCAACTAGCAGGACTAAATGAAGGGATTGCTCAAGTTATAACTCAAGTAAATATGCAAACCAAGTAACAGAATTTTACTATGACACACCCAAAGGGAATCTATTTTCAGTTGGTATTTAGCAGGATAAGTAAATATCTCCATCCAATGAAGATTTGAATGCTTGGTTAAGAGCATATTGTCCAACTAAATTGACCCAACTGTGTCCAAAGTGTACATTTATGCGCAATAACCTATAATTAGGACAATTTCACTTTCAGTATGTCTTAGTTATTGCAACTTACCAAACAACTAAACATCTAGAATAAAGAAGCCGTTAGATTCACTCTTCTATATCACTTCACATATATGGGGTAAGTACCACTATAGAATGTTTCAAGAGGAAGGAAAACATCTGTGTGAAATTAGGAATGTGCTCATAAATTTACACATAATATATACTCACCCAAGCTGATCAATAGCAATTACTTTGAAATGCTTTGCAAGGGCATCAAAATTCCGAAAGAAGAAACCTTGAGAGGCACCATATCCATGGACCATAACAAGAGTAGGAGAACCCTCTTTGCTGTCGAAAGTAACAGTATTGATAAATCTCGGTTCATTGCTCACCGATCGAAACCATCTAACTTTTGAACCTGGTGGACCAGACCCAATGTTGACCTGCTCTTGAGTATAAGGAGTTCTAATATTGGACAAAAGGCATAAATCAAGATGGGCTCTGAGCATCAATAACCATAAAGTTGCAGTTTTTATTTGCTGAAGCAGGCATTCCACAAGATACAAAACCAAGAGACATACGATCTTTCATGATAGATGAAAGAATAGTTTGCATTAAGGTTACAATATTGCCCGACAGAAAATACAATGAAAAAAATTTTGTGCATTACTGACTTTAAAAGCATACCAAGAGTTTCCACTCCCTAAACCAATGAATACAGCAGTATTTGTAGAAGGAGAAGCCCAAACAGGCAACAAGGTTTTTGGGCTTAAAATGGAAAGCAAAAAGTGAAGCTCACTATTACGAAATATAAAAGTTACACATAAATGAATTAATACTACAATAATCAAATTACAATTCAATAGTCTCTCAATCCCGACTTATATGTCCTAATTTACGTTGACACTTTTTACAAGTCCCAAAATAATTTTACAACTTTTAACTTTATCCTTAATGAGATGATATAGCCATACAAAATATTTATGATTTTAGACTAATTTCTTCTATCATTCTTAAAGTCCATACACAACGGAACACCTCGAGAGTAATTAATTTCAAGAATCCATTTACAATAATGCTGGTATTGATCTGACTACTCAAAGTTGAGATTCAAATAATCGAATGTATTATTGTGACCACTTTCAGTGCATTCTTAGAAATGCACATCTGAAGAATATGGCTTCCCCTAAATCTACCTTACTTTATCACTTCTAATAACGCTAAAATGCAGTAGTATAAAAAATCATTTACCATGACATTAATTCTTTTTAGCATGATAGGTAACACATCCAATCAAATTAGTTACGGGAGCGTATTGTATGTACTGAAGACAGAAATGGATAATTATGAGTTTTTTTCCATAAAGCTGGGCAAACTAACTTACACGCACTTTGACTAATCTAGTTAGTTAAATATTCTAGTTGGTGTGAACCTATAGCCTGAAACACGGTAACTGATGTAGCATGAATTATGTGCAGTATTTTCTCCTAAGACAAGAATTGAATGTGATTGAAACATATACATGCATGAATTTCAACAGAAAATATACGAGGATTAATTAAGAATTACCTAACAAGAGAAAGAAGACGTTTTTCAGCAGCGATGATGTGGTCAGTAGATGTAGGTATCCAACGAAGAGAAGAGGGCCAAAATGACCAGCGTTTTGCTCCGTCAGCTGTTGCTGATGAATTGATTTGTTCCGCCATTTTTACCAATGAATTCGATAACCTTCTTGGTCCGATGCTCATGCGATTGATGCAACAGAAAATTAATTTCCCCTTTTATCGCTCAAGTCCCCAAAATATAGGCGTATGTGCAAGAGTGTTCTCCAAGTTTTCTACCGCCTTTCCAAGAAACTCATGGTCATTCTCTCTCTCGCCAATTTCATATTTTAGTATTTCGCCATCAAATTGTATCAACAACGCAGGCAGTGACGTGGGCGGAGCAACTCCAACAGCAGATTTCATATTGCTAATTTAGTCAACTATTCAAAAGCATATTTTTAGCCTTTTTTTTTAGTCAACTATTCAAACGCATATTTTTAGCCTATTTTTTTTTGTTATAAACAAATTTGTATGACAATAAATATCTACATTATAGTTTGTTTTTTAGAAAAGTTGGAAATTCTAAGTTTGGGATTAATCTAGTTTGGCAAACTAGTTTGATGAAACTTGTCGAATGCCCCTACTTAACATTTTGTCAATTAAACTCTTAAACTCGTTAAAACACTATATTGTAAACATTTTCTCATAAGATCTTTATGTGTGTAGTCCAATCTCTTACACATATAATTTCATGTCATTTTTCAATCACATGTCAGAAATTAAATATTAAAAAAATAAAAAATATCAAATATTCAGCATTTGTAAATTTTTTTTTAAATAATCATGTTCTTCAATCTTTACGTATGCTTACAATTTGAGCACCAAGTTCATACCAAATAGATGAAATTCTTCTTTATTTGACTTGAAATTTCAACTTCAACTTCACTAACACAAGTTCAACGAGCCCCAATTACAAATTTGAATTAATTTCACAAATTCATAAAACTCATTTATTGTTCTTCAAACTTACTAATGGACTTTTCAACTTCTTCAATGCCAACCATTATCCTTTACATAAGTGCATATCATGGTCTCTTCTTTGAATCTAACTAACACAAACAATAATTTCAACTTTCAAAATAAAAAAAGATTAAGAATTTAAAAAAATGGGGCATGAAAAAAGAAATTAATGGCGGGATTTTGATTTGTTGCAAAGATGAGAGTTGCTTGAAGAACAAAAAGAAAGTATATGACGGGTGATTTTGAACAAAAGAAAAGAATATGTATCGTGGTGATTTTGTTGAAGAAGAAGAGAAGAAAGTTTAGGGTTACGGATGGGAAGAGTGTTCCATGATGAGAGAAATTGGGTGGGTAGGATGGGGGTGGTTAATAAAGAAATAAGTTTTTTTGATAAAGAATAATATTTTTAAATAACATATAGGTTTTTACGGGCTTGAAAGTGAGTGTACTCACACATCTTTCCAACTCAATAATATTATGCCACATAGATTTGGTGAATGATCATAGGGGTTTCAAATGTTGTATTTTAATAATTTTAAGGGTCCAGTTGATAAAGTATAGAGTAAAAGGGTTTAGAACACAAATGGATACAAGTAAAAGGATCTATCAAACCTTTGATGTCTAGTTTTTTCCTATAAATTTGAATTGATTTTATGCCGCATAGATTTGGTAATGATAAAAAAAATTCATATATTGTGTATTACCCAGAGGGCTGAATAAACTTAATGAACATACAAATTTCAGACGGTATGACTTACCTAAATAGAATCCTTAGATCAATCATTTATCTTATGCTGATGATACTATACTTTTATGTTCGGGTGAGAGAACATCAATCATAAAGATGATGTGGGTATTGAAGGAATATGAGCAAGTATCAAGGCAAATGATCAATAAGAAGGGTTCTTCTACCTCCATCAATTGTGGTGACAGCTAGATTGAGAAGATTGACAAGTATAAATCATGGGTCATTCCCTTTTACATATCTAAGATGCCCAGTTTTCTATGGTAGGAAGAATAAGAATCATTATAAAGAGCTCTTAACAACAATATCTAAAAGAATGTTGTGTTTGCAAAACAAGTTCCTATCTTTTCGAGGAACGCTTATACTAATTTCTAATGAGTTACAATCAATAGCGGTGAATCTATTATCAACTATGAATCCTCCTAAAAGGATTATTGATCAACTCCACCAACTTTTTGCTAGGTTCTTTTGGGGTAAGACTGGAGGGAATAAAGGAATACATTAGATAGCTTGGAATGATATGTGTTATTCGCAAAAGGAAGGAGGGTTGGGTTTCAGATCATTACATGATGTTACAACAACTTTATGCCCCAAATTGTGGTGGAAATTTAGTACATCAACTTCTTCGCTATGAATCTCTTATATATGAAATAAATATTGTAAGAAATGTCACCTCGTAATTGCCAAAGGAACAAGGGCATCACATACTTGGAAGAAATTATTGCAGGTGAGGGAGGAAGTAGAACATGAGACTTGGTGGCAAATCAAAAGCGAAAAATCCAGCTTTAAATTTGACAAGTAGACACAACAAAGAGCACTAGACCATTGTCGCACCCTATTTTTCATCAAAAACGGACTTTAATGCACGACCTAACAACTCTTTTGGACTTTTAGGTTGATTGAAGAGTCGTCACCTAACAAATTAAGGCGCGTTAGCGAACCTATTTAACCTAACTAATTCTAACTAAGGTCAACGAACCAAAGATTAGAGTAAGGATTCAAATTACCTCGAGGGGAAGATGTTAAGCATACCTCGAGGTCCACAAATATGGATTCCGGCCTTATCTCATGCAATTTATGTGGGGGGTTACAAGTAGTAGTTAAGGTCACTTCATTATTATTTTAATTAATTATTTAAACACACGAAACCAGGTGATAACATAAATAAAAAAACAAATTATAGAAGATACGCGAGAAGATAGATTGCACAATTAAATATAGAAGATAACTTTTATTTTGTTTAAATTATCCCAAATAATTATAATTAAGATAAATAATGGGGAAAAAGGGAAGGGAGACTGAGAAACTTTACGGATCAACACTCGACTTTCTTTAATTCTTCCGGTAGGCTTCCGTGTATGGACAAATTCAAGGTTTGTCTCTTTAAGACTGAGTGGATGTCATCATATTCGTGGGGTACAACTACCCTTCCCCCACGACCGCATGTATTTCGTCTTACAATGTGCCTAATGTCCTCTCTTAAGGTCCAAGAGGCATTGGACTACTGTTGGGGTGGTTTAGACTAAAATAAAATATAAGACCCTCCTAAATACCAAGAAAAACACATAGGACAACATTTAGCATGTAAAGTTTCAAGTTGACCTCTAGATTTTATTAAACATGCTGGCAAACACAAGTAATTGTGCAAGGATTTCATGCTAAAGTGTGTGCATACAAGTACTATAACAATTATTTATTAATTTTAGAGGTGCAGGAGAATTATTGAGTGTAGAAAATAGTTCATTAAGAGAAATAGCATACCATATTGATAATGCAGAAGTTTACTTAACTAGCAATCAATTTTTTAATGTAGCATTATTACTCAAATGAATTTATTTTAGGAAGAGTAAACAACAAATTTTAGAAAAATATGCCCAAGTCGATCAATTAATTATGTTATGAAGCTGTGACAGAAAAATCTCTTCAGAAAACTGTTTAATTAATTAACATATTAAAAACAGCGACAAGGTTATGTTTTTATTTTTAGTCATTGGCATGCTGAAAATTAGTTAATAATATTTATGAACATGATTTCTAGGTGAATGAAAAGTCAAAACATTGCATAATACCTATAGCCATGATTTCTAAATATGAGCATGTTGTATCAAAACCTATTGGCATGGTTTCTACACCCACATGATATGTAAAATATTTTTAACCCTTATAGGCATGATGTCTAGTTATCAGACGAATTCTCAAATATTTAATATTTAGCATCATGTTCTAAAAAGTCACGATTATAACAATTTATCAATGATAATATGAAAAAGAAAACAAGATTGATTTTAAAATAGAAAATTAAGATATTTTCATATGCTTGCATGATTTAAGTAAATATCGGTAGATTTTAACAACCAAACGTAATAAAATAAACTAAGCTATAAATGAAAGGAAAAAAATTAACACATATATCCCCTCCCCCCTTTAGGCGACCCCCAAATTATATCATATATAGAGAGAGTTAGAATTACTACAAAATATTACAATATTAAATAAAAGGAACGACAAAAATATTTTAAAAAAAACTAGTTCCACTCAGATACAAATCAAAGTTTAACAAGCCCTGCTAATTGAAGAAGGACAATACAATACAAATAATACAAAAACAATATACTAGCAGCTATTTATATACTTAGACACTATAAAAGCAAGCAATCACACATATAGGATCATTCATAGAAAAGGAGGAGAAAACTGACCCGGATGCTTCCTTTTATTTATCAATGTCCAATTTGGACTTATGCATACAAGTAAGTAACTAATGATTCTCAAATTAAATACATGTATGAAAGACACTAACCGGTAAAGCAGTAAAAGAACAATTAGCAATGAAGATAAGTTAATTCCACACTATTCGACCCGAACACAATAAAATACTTTTTAAGAGTTCACTCGGAAATTATTTTCAAGCAAAGAGTAAAGAGAAATGCAATAATTCTTTTAATATTCAAATGCAGGTAATGTCCAATTATTGAAAAATGAGGGTAAGGAGTCCTTTTTATAATTTTTTTGGAAGATAAACAAATAAGGAAAAGGAGTATAGGGGGTCAATCAGTATTCTTATTTTAAAAGAGTGAAATTAGATTTATTTTAATTAATTAATATTTTTTTGTTCTATTTTTTTTACCAAATATAAAAAAGTAAGAGATCTATCAACTTTAAATCAAGGAAAACGGGATCAATTAACTAACAAATGATATGCAAAAATCAAGTAAGAAAGGTAATAATTAATACGAGAAGGGTGATAATTACAACTAAAAAATATACCAATATACATTTTAGCATAGCCGGACATGATTGCATCTTACTAACTAGTTTAATTAAGGTAGAAAAATCAATTAACATAAGTCAGTAAAATAAAAATTACAGAAAATCCATCAGAACATATAAATTTAAAAGATAAAATTAGTCCAAACAAATTACCTTGTTGGAATTGCTTGTTGTAATTAAGACAAGCGAAGCACAATACTTAATTGAATCCAAATTTACAACATTAATTACGCAGTGTAAGCCATAATTTTAAATATCAATTTTTGTTAATTTGACAAAGTCTATAAACAACTGGTAGATCCTAATTACAACCAAGCAAAGAAGGGAAAAAACAAATCAATCAATTAGTAAAACAACCAACAGTACTCAAATTAAACATAATGACAATAAATTATCACCAACAAACATTCTTGGATTTAATAAACTATTTAGGCTATTGAGAAAAAAAATATTGAAAATTAACAAGTCCATGATTATGACAGAGAAAAAAAACAAAATTCAATGAACCTGTTAAACAACCGACGGTAAATATTAACACAAAGGCAAAGAGAGAAATCTATCAGATCACTATTAAGCAAATGAACATGAATTTTAATTAGACAACTTCAACCTAGATATGCTATCTAAACATCAGCATGTTACAAGACAAATTAATATATCATGACAAACTATATCATGCTCGAATTCTCAAACTAATCAAACTCATTCACATCAAAGAGTTAAAATGACCATAAAGTTGATTAAAACTTACTTGGACGGATCTGCCAAGATCCGTCTTAACAAGCTCAAAAGATTTGAAGTATTTGCCTAAATTTGCTGTTAATCCTCATCGGAAAAGAAGAAAGAGGCACCGGAGATAGAGAAGATTTCTTCGTAGCTGTTGCATGGAGTTGTTGACCGGAGCCTTCGCTGGAGCTACTTTTGTCTCGCTACTCCCTGGAGTCGAAGCTTCTGGTTTTGTTGTTGTCATTGGCTGCTATTAGCTCAAAGGAAAAATGGGCGAATGGAGGGAGATGAAGCAGTGTCGACTGCTGGGTGTTCTCGCTAGTGGCTATTGCCTTTGCGAGGAATCTTTTCGGTGGATTGCTTGGAGAAAGGAGGAGAGGAAGAGAGAAAATGAGAGGGAGAGAGACCTCACCGGTGATTGGGTTTGACCGGTGGCTTGCTGCTTCGACGTCTTTGTCGGATGCCGGTGGAGAGAAGAGAGACGAGAAACAACGGCTAGAGAGAGAGGAGGGGAAGAGAATGAAGAAACTTTAGGGTTCCTGCTGTTATAGAACTAAAAAAGGAAAGAAAATGATTCAAGATCTTGACCATTAGATTAGAGGGACGAACAACCAGAATTGAGATACCTTTTAATTGAGATACCTTTTGATCGAGATTTGAATGGATGGAAGAGATTAAGATGGAATTTGAGAGTTGGACTGGAATTACCAAAATTGAAATAAAAATTGGCCAAAATTGAATGAAAGGGTGGCTATGATTAAAATACAATTGGAATTGAATGGGCTAGAATTGAAATAAATTAGAACAAAACAGGCTAAGATTTAAACGATTTTGAGAAAATTTAAAGAAATATTATTCAATTCAAATGCTACAAATATCATAATATATTTTATATAATTAAAATCACTTCAATTTTAAAACAATTGAATAAAATAAACATTTTGAGTTTGTTAATAATTTTAATAACATTTGAATAATATTTTCAATATTTTTTAATTAAAGTATGCATGCTAAATTATATAATTTTGGACAAAATCGACTAAAATTTTAAACTTGAAATATATTTTTAAAGTACGTATTTAATCGAGTAGCATTCCCCAAAAAGGTTAAAGGTTGATCAAAATTGGGTGACAACAACTACCCTTGGTTGCTTAGGAATGAATGATGAATTTTCGTGCTATCAACATTGACTTAGTAGCCGATTTTGTCTGACCGACGAGAAATGTCAGTGTGATCAATAGAAATGTAGAGTTGAAAAGGGGTATAATCGAAACTTTGGTATTAAGCTGCCTACATATCTATGGTTATACAAGAATCAGACGTGCATAGTGATACGCTCAAACTTACTTTTCAATTAAGAAGTAAAGCGGTCGTATCAAGTAAAGAACCCAACGGATGAGGTTGGGATAGATCCCACGAGGAAAATAGTTCAGGCTTAACTTTATTCTATTATTGCTATTATTTAGTCAACTATTTCCCTAGAAAACAAAAGACAAAAAAGGGGGATTTTATTTCTAAATTAATGAAAATAATTAACTAAATTAAAGTAAACAACTAACAGATTCAAATCGCGGAGCTTAGTCAATTAATAAAAGTAACTAGGGCTTAAGTGTTCCCCACAGGTTCCGTACTTGATGATTCTAACTATAACAATTCTTTCCTAGTATCTTGCATGTAAAGTGATAAGTTATGTATCTCTAAATCTTTGGTCCGGCATCTAGAAAATTTTACTCCGCACCTTGATCCGGCTACGTGTATTGCTATACTAACCCTTACCTTTACCTCATATTAAATATTGTATTCGATATTTGACTAAGTTATTACCTCGTACCAACCGACACTAGCCTATTAGATAGTGTACACTAAATATATGTTGATAGTTCTTTTCCTATTATCTACCTCCTTGGTCCGGCAAGTAGCATTAAGGCGAGTTCTAACGTTGGCCATCCGTTAAAAAGACTTCTAAACGAAAGAATAATCAATACATGCAAGACACTATTATAGAATTGCTATTTTAGTTAGATTTTACCACATTATTCATCCATGGTTCCCACAACCCTAGCTATGGAGTTTAGTTACCCATGGTCATAATCACACTATTCATATATTTAATATAAGATTGATGCACTTACTTTAATGAGAAATAATAAAATCCAGAAATTCATTTGATTGATCAACAAAAACACCAACAATCAATTCCAGAAAAAGTGTATCAATCACTGAAATTAATTCTTCAATATTTGAACAAGAGAACTAAAAATTATCGAAAAGTCTCACCACAAAAACGAGATTTATGAAACTATTTATAATAAAAACAAAAACCTAATAAAAAAAGGATTCTAATTACTGAAAATCTGTCCAAACGTGTCTGAGTCGACGGACCTTGTGACGGACCATAGTGGTCACGATGAGCTATCATGGTCTCCGTCGTCCCATACTTCACAAATTCTTCTACTGCTTTCTTCATTACTCTCAACGAACACGTATGACAGACCGTTCCAAGCACGATGGTCCGTCGAGGGTCTCCGTTCCATAATACTTTAACTTCTTTGAATTTGGGTACTGGACTACTCTCTGATCATTCGACGAACCACCAGGACGGACCGTCGTGGCTATGACGGTTCATCATGGAATTCCGTAATCCCACACTAGGTCAAACTTCCCCATCTTCTCTACTCACTGCTATGCCACCTACGGACCGTCATAGACTCGACGGACTGTCATAAGCTCCATAGGTGGTCTCTTCTGCATTCCTCGCTCAAAAACTTCCGCGTTCATCTTTGGACAGATTTCCCGCAAATAAGGAGAAACTTACGTAAAAATCAATGCAAAAAGGCTTTTGGACACACACTAAACTTAATGAAAAAACAATAAAAATATCGTGAAACCACAATACATCATGTAGTTCTAGATTCAGGAGCAAACAAAACTCCTAAAGGTTGAAAGAGGAATACATATTCGAAAGGGAACGATATCGGCTTGAATATATAATATTAGAGTAGCGAGAAAAGAATGATAGAGTAATTCCAACTTTGAACAAGGTTTAGATAAAAAGAGAAAATATAAGTAGAAGAATTGATAGGACCTTCATTGTGATAGATGTAAGCACGATAATCATAGTCGAGAGGGAGATGATCACACCTATAAAATGTAAGTCTCTGCAAATCTGTAAATTGTAATATTATTAGGGAAAATATATCAAATAGACGATAAAGGTAAACATGATGCAATTTCCCATATCGACCATGATGCTTGCCATAAAACTATGAAGATGATGTCTTAGGCTATGATGTCTAGGGACATGATATGCAAAAAGTATATCCTCGGGTTATGAAAATGTTGTCTGCGGGATATGAAAAATGATACCTTTAGACTATGACACCTTTGGATCATGTTAAGCATAAATCAAATCCTTAGGTCATGATATGATGTCCACAGACCATGAAAGATGTGCTTTTGGAGGATGAAGCCTTTAGAGTATAAATAATTTCGGGCACAATGCAATATTTGAGCACTATGTCAAATCAGGCACATACAGCGTTTAGGAACAATTCAATCTCGGGCACATGCAATTACATAATCCGCGGGAACATGCAATCTTTGAGCACAAATGCAATTAAAAAACAATGCAATTCTTGGGAATAATGCAGTCTCAATCGCATGTAATTCTTGGGCAGAATGTAGTCTCGGGCACAATTCAATCTTGGGCACATGCAAATCTCGGGCATATACAATTCTTGGGGACATGTATTATAGTTGATTAAGGGCATAAACCTTCGACTTGTTAGAAGCATCGAGTGACCATTTTTTGACAAATTTTGCGTTCGAAATATTGTAGATTGACCCTTCGTCCTGTTGTAAGGAGTGGATATAGTTGAATATTGATTTGTCGGGCTTGATATGAAGTAGCAGATCCTTTTATCTCATGGGAGGGATAGGGTACCATTGATTGGCAATTTGTCGAGCTTTACAGCAATCGGGCGATGTTGAAGTTTTCCTTTGTATCCGTACCTGTCTTTCTTGTATTCAAAGAAAAACTGTGAGTTTAATAATGAAGGCATTTGATCTACTCTGACCGGTGTGTTCCCTTTTGCTTGCCATCCAGTCCTTTTCGGGAATTTGCTTTGAGGAAAAAGGTAACATAGAAGGAGAAAGAATAATTTTGACAGAGTTTTTTTTGTAAAAAAATAATAAGTATCAAAGTAATGTTGAATCTTCAACCATGGCACAATTTGAGACTTTACAATTCAGACTCAGTAGCAATTTTGTTATTCCGATCTTTGTTGAAGATTATAGCTTGATTGTCGTGAATTTTTGAGACCCTCTCAAAAACGTTTCCCAGTCTTGATTTGCGAAAAATTCTTATTGCGAAGGAATTTGAGGCCCTCTCAAAAGACTGTGCCACAGTTAATGCTTTGTGAGAAGAAAATTTTTGATGGAATTTTTGAGTTCATTTAAAAAATTCTTCCCCAGTATCGAGAATTGGAAGGAGTAAGCTTTGATGTAATTTTCGAGACCCTTTCAAAAATTCTGCCCCAGTTACACAATGGAAAGGGGTGGGGGAATGAAGTTTTTATTATGATAAGGCCGAACTCCATAGGAGCACCTAAGTATACCCTCTTAAATGGGAATCAGGTCTGACGTAGTTCGAAATGTAAATACCATGAAACAAACATTAGATGTAATATTTCTTAACCGAATCTGAGTTGATAGATTTGGGCCTAACTTCTCCATCTATTTCTGCAAGTATGAGGGCACTGCCTGTCATTACTCGAGAGACAATGTATGGAGTTTTCCAGTTCGGTGAGACTTTACCCTTTGATTCATCTTGATTTAGGAAAATTTTCTTCAATAGTTGCCCATGAGAGAAATTTTTGAGTCTAACCTTCTTGTTGAAAGCTCTAACTATTCTATTTTGATAGATCTGACCATTACACATGGCGTTAATTCTTCTGCCGTCTATTAATTCCAGATTCTCTGCTTGAATTTGTATCCATTTAGCGTCACTCAGCTCTGCTTCCGGAATAATCCTTAGAGATGGTATCTCTACTTCAGCAGGTATCACAACTTCATTACCATATACCAGAAAATAAGGCGTAGCCCTAGTAGAAGTTCTGATTGTGGTACGATATACCAATAGTGCGAATGGTAGCTTTTCATGCCAATATCTGTTATTATCGATCACCTTGCGTAGTATCCTCTTGACGTAATTGTTTGTAGCCTCAACAACTCCATTCATCTGTAGTCTATATGTTGTAGAATTTGATCACTAATCTTGAACTTCTCACACAGTGATCTCATCAGATCACTATTTAGGTTGGTTCTGTTGTCATTGACGATTGACTCAGCAATCTCGAATCTACAAATAATGTTATTTTTGATAAAGTCATCCACAACCATTATTGTCACCATTGTGGGAGGTGGCTATGACCCACCTGGTGAAGTAGTCAATTGCAACAAGAATGAATTTGTGTCCATAAGATGATGCTGGCTCGATTGGACCAATGGCATCCATGCCCCGTACTGCGAATAACCAAGGTGAACTAATGACATGGAGTTCGTTGGGAGGAACTAGAATCATATCTATATGAGTCTTACATCGGTGACATTTCTTGACATAGCAAATGTACTCTGTCTCCATAGTTAGCCAAAAATATCCCGATCTCAAAATCTTTTTTGCTAATGTAAAACCGTTCATGTGAGGTCCACATGTTCTTGCATATATCTTTTGAACCAGCCTGCTAGCCTCTCCAGCTTCGACGCATCTTAGAAGCTCCAAGTTGGGAGTCCTCCTATAAAGGATTTATCCACTTTGAAATGGGTTGTTAACCTCCAAATTGTAAGCTTTTGTACAGTTGTTGCATCTTCTGTTTAGTCACTACTCTTCAAGTATCCTCGAATGTCATTGTACCAAGGCTTTCCATCAGGATCTTCCTCAACATGCAAACAATAGGTTGGTTTCTCATGTATGTAGATGTAAATAGGATCAATATAATTATAATCAGGATGTTGAATAATGGAAGACACAGTGGCTAAGGCGTCTGCAAGTTCATTTTGGATCTTTGCTACATGCTTGAATTCTATTTTGATGAACCTTTTTGCACAACCTATGCACACACTCCAAATATGGTAACAACTTCCAATATTTAGTTGCCCAATCTCCTCGAACTTGATGAATCAATAGGTCTAAATCCCCTATTATTAGTATTTATTGGATATCCAAGTCAATCGCTCATCGGAGCCTCAACATGCAAGCTTCATATTGATATACCGTGGTTTCACAGTGTTATTAATACTTTTTCCTTAAGTTTAGTGTGTCCAAAAGTCTTTTTGTGCTATTTTTTATATAAGTTTCTCCTTATTTGCAGGAAATCTGTCCAAAGATGAATGCGGAGGTTTTTGAGTGAAGAAATGCAGAAGAGACCACCTACGGAGCTTGTGACGGTCCGTCATGCTTGTGATGGTCCGTAGGTGGCAGCATAGTGCAGCTGCTGAAGGAAGATGGGGAAGTCTGACCAAGTGTGGGGTTACGGAGTCCATGACGGTCCGTCGTGTCTATGATGGTCCGTCCTGCAGGTACGTCATTAAGTTCAAAGACGTAGTCTCTGTACCCATATTCCAAGAGTTTAAGTGTTTTGGAACGAGACCCTCGACAGGCCGTTGTGCCTGTGACGATCCGTCATACTCTCTGTCGAGGGTAATGAAGAGAGCAGCAGAAGAAACTACACAAGTATGGGATGACGGAGTCCATAATGGTCCGCATGACCACGACGATCCATCGCGAGGTCCGTCAACCCAGCCGCGTTTTGAGAAATTTCCAGCAGATAAAATCCTTGTTTACTTAGGTTTTAATTTTCTATAAATAGTTCAAAAAACCTCATTTTTGAGGTTAGACTCTGTATTATTAGTTAGACACTGTATTATTAGTTAGACTCGGTATTATTAGGTCTAACTCTGTATTATTAGTTAGACACTGTGTTATTAGTTAGACTCTATATTATTTGGTTAGGCCTTTGATTATCATTAGACTTTTTGTGAGCTTCTTGATTACTTTGAGATCTTGTAAGTGATTGTTGGTGATTTTTGTTGATTAATCAAGCAAACTTTCGGATTTTACTCTTTCTCATTGAAGTAAATACATGAATTCTTATATCATATATTTGAATATTATGATTATGACTATGGGTAACTAAACTCCATAACTAGGGTTGTGGGAACCATAGGCAAATAATGAGGTAAAACCTAACTAAAATAACAATTCTAGAATAGTGTCTTGTATGTGTTAATAATTCTTTCAATTAGAAGCCTTTTTAACGGATGGCCAACGTTAGAACTAGCTTTAATGCTACTTGCCAGACCAAGGAGGTAGATAATAGGAAAAGAATTATCAACATAGATTTAGTGTATACTATCTAATAGGCTAGTGTTGATTGGTACGAGGTAATAACTTAGTCAAATATCGAATACAATGCTTAATATGAGGTAAAGGTAAGGGTTAGTATAGAAACACATGTAGCCGGACACGTGTGCGGAGTGAAATTTTCAAGAGGCCGGACCAAGGATTTAGAAATACATAACTTATCACTTTGCATGCAATATACTAGGAAAGAATTGTTATGGTTAGAATTATGAAGTTAGGAACCTATTGGGAACACGTAAACCCTAGTTACTTTTATTAATTGATTAAACTCCAACATTTGAATCTGTTAGTTGTCTCTTTTAATTTAGCTAGTTATTTTCATTCATTTAGAAATAGAAACCCCCCTTTTATTGTCTTTGTTTTCTAAGGAAATAATTGATTAAATAGTAGTAAGAATAGATTGAAGTTAAGTCTGAACTATTTTCCTCATGGGAATGATCCCAACCTACAACTGCTTTACTTCTTATTTGAGAAGTAAGTTTGAGCGTATCAGCCAACACCTGACAAACCATAGTCAAGACATTTCAATTTAAAATCATACCAACCCTATCAATCCTAATACAAGGCATACTCCAATACAACATCATGACTTAATCACAATTAACCATAATTTAAGTAAAGAATAGGGATCACAAGACTTACCAAGTCTTTCATAATTCATCATCAAGGTCTTACCATAAACCATTTTTCAACCCAATTAGAGTGTAGTATCTTCATATAACAATAACAAACATGATAACAAGTCTAATTTAATCACTACATCACAATTCATTACTAGTTTATAGCTTAAGACAAGAGACATAGGTCAAAGTCATAACATAAATCAATTACTAAATAACTAACATGATAGGACTATAATTCAGCCTAATCTATTTATTATTGATACAATAACATCACCTAGTAATAATTCAACCAATAACCAATTCAATTGAACCAACATTACACAATTCATATCAAGATCATAACCTACGGTTAAGTGGAATAGGTCATCTTCTACAAACTAAACCAATTCATCAAGATGTAACATAATTAAGTTAAAATACATGTTAATATATACATAATATAAAAAATAATTCATAAATAACGCAATTCATAACATCAATTTCGTATTGGATTAAAACCCACTTGACAACCCAACTTTTGAAATCAAATTGATGGAACCCTTTGAGGAAAGAGGTCTCAAAGGTGAAAGGAATCCCATACCTTAATAGTTGATGAATATTTATGGAGAAACTTAACTCTTTTAATCCCTTTAGAACAACTCTAGCTTGGTCTTCAATGGGGTTTCTTTGGGAGAGAGAAAGAAGGGAGAAGGAAAAGAGTTTTGGGTTTAGGAAATTATGTGAGCTTAGGTTAGTCTAATTAGCTTAGGGGCTTTATACAAGGGGTTAACTAACTTAATTCGACCTTTATTAACCCCCAATTAAACTCCTAAATAATACAACTAATTAAATGACTTAAATGAAAATGTGCAGCAAAACCAGTCCCCTCATAGATGAGGCCCCGATCGACGCCTCGTGGGTCAATCGATGGCCACTATGCACCTCCGTGTTGCACATCCGTCGATGAGTTCAGAGAATTGAAAAATGAACCTTCCAAGATTTTTTCTAAGTGACCAACGACAGTGGTCATCGAAGCCCTGTCAATGGTACTCGTCTGTGCACACTGCCTTGGGCCGTTCTTTGACCCCAAAATGCAAAGGTCCTCCTCAAGGAACCTTGGTTGGTCCTTGGGGAGTCGTGCCTGGAAGTTTTGACTATGAATAAACTCTTATACATATTATACACATTTCCACCAATGTTAATCATTTTCCGACTCCTAAAAGTTAGTCAAATAGGCTACGTCACGCTGGAACCTCATTGAACTAGTTTCCGAACGTCATGGACGTTCTTGGACATTTTGGTTTCTAATCTTCCTAAATGACTTATATTTATTAAAACAGACCTTAAAACAGTGTCTAAACCTTATGACACTCATGTTAGACTCTAGAACACGTCTAGATTTTCGAAGTGTTACATTATCCCCCCCCTTAGGAAAGTTCGTCCCGAATGACACTATAATCTTTTGAAAGGAAGGAATAGACTAAAGACTAGCAGCCAAAACAACAACAATACATAACAAAATCAATCATATCATTTACACAAGGCAATTCAAAACTTCATTTACCACACATAAGACTCAAAATCACATTATGAGGAATTTCCTTCTCACAACAACTACATGAGCTCAACATATCATATATGAGTCAATCATGCCAAATCTTAACTTATCAACATTCTACATATCATTTCATAAATACTCACCATATCAAAATGCACAACATGACTTAAAACAACCAGAGTTGCAACTTTATAGGCATACTTTACTGTAAGTCATTGTAATATCATTATAAAATGCACATTTTTGCAAAACTTCACAAAAATCAAGAAACGTCAATTTTTAGTCATTATTTTCATTATTTGTAGGAATAACTAACCTTAGTTATCAAATAGATGAGGGTAACTATACTTCATGTAGGCCTCGACCTCCCATGTCGCACCCTCAACCTAGAGATTCTTCCAAAACACCTTTACGGAAGCCACCTCCTTGTTCCTTAACTTCCGTAGTTGCCTATCAAGGATTTGAACCATAACCTCCTCATAAAAGAGTTTATATTTTACACCAATACTCTCAATACGAAGAATAGACTGGAATTACCGATACACTTCTTAAGCATAGAAACATGGAAAACCGTATGAAATAAAACTAATTCATTAGGCAACCTTAACTCATATGCAACCTTACAAACCCTTTGCAAGATTTCATAGGGACCCAAATAA